GGCCGGGGTGGGCTGGGGGGGGGGCGTGGTGGCGGGGGGGGGGGGGTCCCCACCCTGGCAGGGAGGGATGGGGGCACGCGGGACTCTCTGCGGGGGCTTCACGTCCAGGGTGTCCTTGGGGGACGGAATGTCCCTTTGGGCAGGGTCCTTGGGGGGTTTCCCCCATTGAAGTGCTGCAGGCAGGTGGGATCCTGCACCCCAAAAGCACCCACTGCACCCCCAGGACTTTGAACTGGGCTCCAGACACGGGGTGGCCACGAGTCCAGTGTCCGGCACCGTACAGACTGCGCGGTGCCATCTCGGTGAGTGTGCCGCTGCCTCCAGAGGGCACTGATGGCTTATGGCTGCCGTGCAGCACCCGGCAATCACCGTACAGCACCCAGCCACGCCACGCAGCCGTGCCAGGCTGTGGGACACCGGACTGCGGCACGTCCAGGCTGCTCAGAACCACTGGCTGCCCCTCGTCCGACTCTGCCAGAGTATTCCTTTGTTTTGTAATGGTGTAACTGGGTGCGGAGCCGTCGCGGTGCTGGTGCTGGCAGACCCTCCTCCGGCCCTCGCGCCTCTTCCCGGTCTCCCCCTCGCTACGGCCGTGAGCTCTGGGGGCTCCGTCAGGGCACCCCTGGGCACTGCTTGGTGCTGGGACGGCGACTGAGCACCTCGGATTTGGGGGTTTGGGATGAGACACCCCCAAATCTGGAGAGGGTTGATAGGAACTGGGGGAGACGGCATGGCTGGGCCAGGGCAGGACCCCTTAACTCTCCCCGGGGCGACCCTGGCATCGAGGTGGGCAAAGCAGCTCCGGGCTGGTGCTGAGACTTTTCCCCTAAAAGCAGCCGCCCGTAACCTGTTTAATTAGGCAACGGCCTCGTTACCCCGCTGTCCTCGCCCTTTCAGCCTCACGCATGCGGGGCTGCCGGGATGCGGCAGCGGGACTTCGCACCCGTGTGTCCCCCCTTGCGTGTGTCCCCCCCAATACTGTGATGCCGGGCAGGACACGCCGGGCTGGCATCGCGGCTCCTCCGGGCACGTCGGGCTGTGCCGGGCGGTGATGCGCCGGGGCCGGCAGCCCGTGCCAAGCTGTGGACAGATAAAAGGTGACGCGTGGGGACTGGCCCGGCACGGGGCTGGGAGGGTGCTGGAGGGGTAGGGGGGGTCCCCCCTCCTTTTTCCTGAGGTGTTGGATGTTTTTGCCGCTTCTTGTCTCCCCGGCGTAAATCAGTGCGTGGGACTCAGGGGGGGCCGGCCGCATCCACGCTGGCATCCCTGGGGGCTGCGACCGGGTGGCTGCTGCCCCGTCTCTGCCACGCATCCCGGGGGGGTCCGTCGATAACCCTCCCCATGCTTTCCCCCCACTAATTCACTTTATTTTTCACAAAGCTCAGCCCCACCGTGGCCGGGTTCCCCTTCTCCCTGTCCCTCTGCCCGCAATATCCAGCCCCCCCCAGAAAATAAAACTCCAAATATATGTATTAACATCTCCCCAGGCCACCTTGTTTTTAAGCCTGACTTCCCCAAGTCAAGGTGGGGAAACTGAGGCACGCCTGGCTCCTCACCCCTCACCCCCAGACTTGGGGGCGTCTTACCCCCCTTCCCAAGCACAGTCTTTCCCTCCCTGGTCTTTTCTTGTAAATACTGCTCTTTTTTTGTAACCTGCTCTTCTCCACCACTTTTTTGGCATGAAAGGTGCCTTATCGGCGCTTTCCATCTCCGGGTGACTTTTCTGGCTGGCTTTTGCCAAATTAGTCAGCATGCCGCTGCGGCATGAGCGGGGCGGGGGTCCCTCCAGCCCCTTCTTTTTCTTTTTTTTTTCTGTTTCTTTTCTTGGTTTTATCCTTTTTTCTTTTTTTTTGGTCATTTCTGAGGTCAAGGCCATTCCCACTTGTGCTTCCTCGGGAAGGGGCTGGGGAAAAGCTGGGATCCAAATCATGAGAAAAGCCCCTGGGGGGGGAGCAGGGTGGGGGGTACCGGGGGACGGAGGGTGCTGGAAAGCTGCAGGGCTGGGGGCAGCTTTGCAGGATCCGTCCCCAGGATACCCCTACCAACATGCAGGGGTGACGCAGTGCCAAAAGCTGGGGTTGCTGGGTGCAGGCGGGTTGGAGCACCCCCCCCCCCCCCGCCAGCCCCGTGCCC